AGGAAGACAAATAGCCCTACAGTTCGGACTCCTGTGGTTCTTAATCTGATTTCACAAGTGCAATGTGAAACAGTGAAAACACAAAAAGAGTCCAAATCCGGCAATTCTTTTGGAAAATCGATGTTTGAATCAAATGCCAAAAATGGACTGCTTTGCCAGATTTCAGAGACGCCACCTAAATATTTTTGGGAAATTTAGGAAATCCAAGACTCGTGCCAAAGGCCATTAGTCCGTCATCACCAAAGTGTCTCTACTCGGGAACTTAGGTACGAGAGGGGAAGGTCATGAATTGAGCACCCCACTTGCCCGATCAAAGATTGGCCTCTACTAATCATGATGTGATTTTTATTTACATTATATGCTCTTGTTCCGATTATTAGCTATTTTTTACCATGTGACGCACACACAAATATAGACTAATTTGCAAGAATTGGAACATTTGATTTCGTGTTTTATTTGAAATTGTTTTGTGAATTTGCCACTTGAAAAAGTGGGCTTAAAATGGACATTAATCAAACTATCCCAATTCAAGCAACTAGCCTTCATCCACATGCAATCCAAGACTCGTGCCAAAGGCCATTAGTCCGTCATCACCAAAGTGTCTCTACTCGGGAACTTAGGTACGAGAGGGGAAGGTCATGAATTGAGCACCCCACTTGCCCGATCAAAGATTGGCCTCTACTAATCATGATGTGATTTTTATTTACATTATATGCTCTTGTTCCGATTATTAGCTATTTTTTACCATGTGACGCACACACAAATATAGACTAATTTGCAAGAATTGGAACATTTGATTTCGTGTTTTATTTGAAATTGTTTTGTGAATTTGCCACTTGAAAAAGTGGGCTTAAAATGGACATTAATCAAACTATCCCAATTCAAGCAACTAGCCTTCATCCACATGCAATCCAAGACTCGTGCCAAAGGCCATTAGTCCGTCATCACCAAAGTGTCTCTACTCGGGAACTTAGGTACGAGAGGGGAAGGTCATGAATTGAGCACCCCACTTGCCCGATCAAAGATTGGCCTCTACTAATCATGATGTGATTTTTATTTACATTATATGCTCTTGTTCCGATTATTAGCTATTTTTTACCATGTGACGCACACACAAATATAGACTAATTTGCAAGAATTGGAACATTTGATTTCGTGTTTTATTTGAAATTGTTTTGTGAATTTGCCACTTGAAAAAGTGGGCTTAAAATGGACATTAATCAAACTATCCCAATTCAAGCAACTAGCCTTCATCCACATGCAATCCAAGACTCGTGCCAAAGGCCATTAGTCCGTCATCACCAAAGTGTCTCTACTCGGGAACTTAGGTACGAGAGGGGAAGGTCATGAATTGAGCACCCCACTTGCCCGATCAAAGATTGGCCTCTACTAATCATGATGTGATTTTTATTTACATTATATGCTCTTGTTCCGATTATTAGCTATTTTTTACCATGTGACGCACACACAAATATAGACTAATTTGCAAGAATTGGAACATTTGATTTCGTGTTTTATTTGAAATTGTTTTGTGAATTTGCCACTTGAAAAAGTGGGCTTAAAATGGACATTAATCAAACTATCCCAATTCAAGCAACAAGCCTTCATCTCCAGGTATATCATTTAAGCAATTGGCCTCATGGTATTCATGCTTTGGACATGGCAACACAAACACTCAATGTAAGATGCTAAGACATAAAAGCTCACCTAGTACTCCGAGCCAAAACATAGGGTAAGAGTTAGAAAAATATGCATGTTCCTAACTTTATGCAATATGACTAATGCAACGCACACATTATGTATTTTTATAGGCTCGGCTATGAGCATGGCATATGATTTCTTCCAAGACATACGAAAAAGCACGTATTCAAGTAATGAGTTTGAACAATTTGATATTGGGTTAGCATGATGAGCCGAACCTTGGATGCATGTAAGACAATGGATGCAACGTATAAGAATGCTAATTTGAAAAATAATGTTCTATTCTAACCATCGTAAGCAAGCAAGTAAAAAGGAGAAAGACGTGGGGTTAGAAAACATACAACTTATTACACATTTGCCCTCGTACAAAACGGCACGAATCAAAGTTTGAAAGTCCAAATCAAACTAATTATTACAAAACTGAACGAATAAGTAAGCAAAGAATTAACTAGCTAACTACTTTATTACAACAAGGATAATCATGAGAAGTAAACTAACTATCTAAAATGAAACTAAAAAATCTTTAGCATTTTTTTTTTTTTTTTTTTTTTTTGATCAACAACAAAATCTTTAGCTAATCACAACAACAAATTAATAGAAACTTCTTTGCCCACCATTCAGACTTGCACATTTCAAACTACATACTCTAACCAGTATGAGCACAAAATTAGAAGATGTTTTATCTCCCAAACAAATATTGACAATAATCCAAACTAAAGAAAACTGAAAGCATAATAACACAAACAACTAGGATGGCAAAACTTGCAAAGAAAGTTCACAAAAGAAGCAACAAAAATGCCAACACTGGCAAACTCAATAAAATTCCTAAAGGCAATTTGGCAATTAAGTAGAACATCTTGCATCACTTATAAAGAAAGTCCAGTACTTGCCATTACCTCAATTAGAATTACTCAAAACTAGAGCAACTGGTTTAGAGATTTCTGTGTCATAAACGACATAGTCACCTAATGAGCCAGACATAAATGTCATGAAAATCACTTGCATATAAACACACATTAAATGCTTATACACCCTGACCTGAAAAGATCAATCCTTAAATATGAGTAGGAAAGGAAGGAAGAAATTTTTTTCTTAAAAAAAGTACAAGATGTCTTGTGAAATAAAAACAGTAAAAGGAGTAGTCCTCAAAAGTATTATTTGTCATCTCTCCAAAACCTAATACCACAGAAAATAAAACAGACAATTGGAGACAACAATTGTAACTTAATGATATTCACAGGGATGGTAATAGCTATAGTGCATTCCAACATCAGCAACTCTTCGGTGGTGGGAACTCTTGCTAAGAATGACTAAGATGATTTGTTTACAGGCATGCACTAGTATTCCTGCCATTTCCCAATTCCTCTTAACTATGTGTCTTAATCATTGTCAGTACTTCCCTCTAGTTTAATGAATTTTGCAATTTCCATCACAGAAACAGAAAACCAAAGACTAGATACAAAAAAAAAAAAAAAAAAGAAAAAAAAAAGAAGGGTCAAAAGTCAGATCAACTTCCATATATAATTGTATCCACAAGCCCAACAGCAATGAATTCCCCTATGTTCACCTGAAATACCAGTAAAGTATAATGGCAATACATCATCACTGAATGATGAGCCTCAATATGCTGTTTTGGGGCAAATGTATAAACTACTGTTCCATATTTGAAAGCAACAGTACATCAGTTTTTAATTTATTCATATGGTCCCCTTTACAAAATGCATATTAACAGACTGTCATCTGCTTTGAAAAATAAGATGTCCCTGAGACCATGAGCACAATCCTCCTATCCTGGCACATATTAAACATATATTGTCTGGCACAACATGAGGAGAAATAACATTATTGCCATATATATATTATGCAGGTCACCATGGTCGAACTTTACTAAAAAAACTATTTTGAAAGCACCACATGACACTCAGGAATATAACAACAGGAATTTTGGAGAAAAAAACAGTTGTGCTTTATCCAAATAGTTAATTACATGGGCAGAAATATCACCTTGAAATCCAGATGGAGTACTTCACATTCCAGCATTTTATGGACAGGGTTACCATTACCACTTACAATATATTTTCTTCCCTACCAACTAAACGTTTTGCAAAATGAAAGAACAACTAAAATCAATCAATGTAATGAATACAAATTGTAGAATTATATTAAGTTGAACATAAAAAAAAAATAAATAAATAAAAAAAAGGGAAAAAGGGAAAACCAATAATCAGGACAGTTAAAAGAGAGCCGTCACACTATACCCATGGCACAATGACACTTTCTCTAAGAGTTCAAACAAATGATTATCCTCCTAACTAATCAAAAGTTTGTACTGAACAAAAACAACCCAAGATTTTATGCTTCAAATGCAAATATAACATCTTTTTTTTTTTTTTTTTTTCGTACAAATTGTATTGCGTCAGTAACCACCACTGAGGAACATTGACACATAATCCAGCTCTCACACATTCTCAATTCACATCATCTATACTATTATTAAAAGGGAACAGATCACTTGGTGTCCAAACTTTGGTGACTTCTCCTTGTGAACATGCCAAACTAAACACAAACAATTTTCATAACGACCACATTATTCCCACAATCCAACACTCACTCACTCCCTATCACTACTGATATACAGGACGATTCACAGCCAACAAATCCGCCGGGACAGAAGGCCAACTAGGAATCTACAATATAATTACCAATGACTAGTAGAGCATCTGCACATTCACAAGAACCCTAAGACATTTTCAAGCAAATCTAAACTGTACAGACCAATCCTTATGAGATTAAAATGTGCCAAAATAAAGGAACAGAGACACAGAACATGTAAATAATATGGCTATAAAATCAGCCTTAATGCAATTCTTTCTCAGAGGCATTTCTAACAGTCATTAGAGCCAGACAATTAGTTTAGGTGAGTGACATAAAAATACCACGACCTCCCAATTTCCAGATGCTCATTAGGACCCGACAAGGTTAGTATAGGTTCCATGGAGCAAGCACTGACATCTATCACAACATAATAATACAATATCCTAATCATCAGAGAAAACCACAATTTCAACCAATCCATCAAAATACAACATGAAGCAAGTTCTGAATCGAGTTATAGAAAGGACACCCCCCCCCCTCCAAAAAACCGCTGGAATCGCTGCTTTCCAAAAGTGCAAATGAGTTCACTGTTAAATTATTTTTTTGCAACAAGCAGGCCATTAAGCGAACCAAATTTCCTTCCAATCTAATTGAAGTACATGTGAATCATTATCATAAGCACAAATCACAAAATTTAACAATTCTTTTTCTGGTAAATGTCTCAAGCTGAAATTTTTATTCAAATATAAAATTCATAGCTAGCTACATCGATTTATACGAAATCACCTAAACTAAACATGAAGGCAACATCGTAGTACAAGGAAATATGAAATACCAAATGCTACAAACAAAGACTGACACTGAAAGGAATACCCAATAACCACACACACACACCCCGTTTCTGATCGATCACACGTTGATCGTATCAAGACTATCAGACTACACGAATATACATTGAAAATATAAGACTATCAGAAACCTAATCTTCTTCTTCGATAGTTAAATCTACTAGATTTCCAAGCAACAGTTGATATTTATTCTTTGTCGCTCAACAGAAAAAGGAAAGATATACCGAACATTAAGCTTCACTTCCATGGCATCATTTGCTTCGTACTCAACCTTCCTCTTGAAAAGATAAAGGAAGAGACCTTGAGTAATAAAGCAAACCATCATCAACTCAACTCCCTCCTTCAGATCCAACATTTCCATAACAATTTGCATCCAAAATTAGGGCAAATCAAGGCCCAGCAATCGACGTAGATCACTCGTCGCAGCATCGTTTTTCTCCTTCTTCGAAAAGAAAGCCGGAAATGGAACCGAACTCGGCGGCGGCGAGGCCAAAAAAACCGCCGATCCGGCGTAGATTCCGTCAACAACCTTCAAATCGGAAACTTTAATCTGCTTCTGAACGGTTTCGGGATCAGGACCCAACCGATCGGTGGAGCAGAGGACCAAATCCTCGTCGCCGAACACGAGACCGTTCTTCTTCGCCGCCGCGGGGGTCAATTCCTCGCCGCGCTTGAGGATCTTGACCTGGCCCATGACGAGATTCTTGGAGGGAAAATTCGCAACCACCGCCTGATCTCGGAGTCGGGTTCGATCCGGAGACCCCACGGGGCTTCGCTTACGGCGGCGAGGGCGGATCGAATTGGGGCGGGGTTTGAAGGGAGGGGCGGAGAGGCGTTCGGAGTGGAAGCTATTGGGGCGGAGGAGGCAATCTTGAGATCGGAGAACGGCGGTTGTCGCCATTTCGAGAGAGACAGAGAGAGGATTTATTTGGAAAGGGAAGATTGGTGTTTGGGTAATGTGAAATGTAAGAGGAGCGGGATAGGTATATAAACAATAATGATTCAATTCATTAATTTAGAAGCACTAAGAGCATCTCCAACGGTGTACCAAATTTTTCACCAACTCTGAGTGAAAAATGAGTCATTTCCTTAATTTGATATTTCGCGCTCCAACAGTTCAACATCAAATCCGTTTCATCAAATTTGCACTGGGCAACCGGTTGGTTGACCGGCCGGCCGACCGGCCGGTCAACCGGTAATGGCAAAAAAAATTTTTTTTTTTTTTTTTTTTACCGTTTTAATCTTTTTTTTTTAAATTTTTTTAACACCTTTTTTTTTTTGAACTTTTTGAACTTTTGGTGGTCGACCGGGTGGTCGACCACCTAGGCAAAATATATTTTTTTTTTGACTGGTTTGAACCTTTTTGTGAACGGTCTGAACTTTCTCCGGGGCGACCGGTTGGTTAACCGGTTGGTCAACCGGATGGTCGACCCGTTCGTCTCATCCCAACGGTTAGGAACAGTGATTTGGTTAAACGCTTCGCCTGCACTCAGTTTGGTACCATTTTTGCTGAATTCTGGATTTGATATCGATCTGATGAAACCGTTGGAGCTTAAAAAAGTGGCTTTTTCACCAAATTTTAAATTTGATGCCAAGTTTGGTTCACCGTTGGAGATGGTCTAATATACCACTAATAAGAGTATCTTTAATGGTGACTTAAATTTTTCATCAAATTTAAATAAAAAAAATGATTCATTTCACCTAATTTGATACCACTCACTCCAACGATCTACTTTTCACCAAATTTATCCTGGGACAACCGGGTGGTCGACCGGCCGGTTGACCGATTAGGTAAAAAATTTTTTTTTTTTTTTCGCGAATTGTCTGAACTTTTTTTGAACTTTCTGAACTTTTTTCGGGACGACCGGGGTGGTCGACCGGCCGGTTGACCGGTTAGGCAAAATTTTTTTTTTTTTTTTTAAACGGTTTGAACTGAACTGTTTGAATCTTTACTGGTTGACCGGGTAGTCAACCGGCCGGGCAACCGGCTGGTTGACCGGTGTACCTCTTTCAAACGGTCAGTAACAGTGATTTGGTAAAATCTGTGTCTCGTTCTCAGTTTGATGCTTTTTTTGCTGAAATCTCATTTTGATATCAATCTGGTGCAACGGTTAGAGCTCAAAAAAGTGACTTTTTCATCAAATTTTGAATTTGATACCAAGTTTGATGAACCGTTGGAGATGGTCTCAGGTTAAAATTTAAAAAAAAAAGAAAAAAACAAACAATATATCCCATTATATAGGACCTACGAAAAATGAACGGAACCCCTTTTCTTTCATCCTCTTGACCCTCTCGCTCTTTGATTGGTTAAATTTTTTTTTTTTTTTTCCACCAATCATCACCCGCCAAGTGTGTGGGATGGTGATTGGAGGGAGTCTAAATCATTGCTCTAGGACTCACACCACTTTAGAGCTATTAGTGCTCCTCTTTTTAATGGTCTCACTCATTTTTGGTATATAAAGGACTATTTTGGGAAGATAGTTATAATCAACTTTTTGATAAAAAGTTACTTATAAGCAGTTTATAAAGAGCTTTTTGTGATAGATGAAATGAGTTATAATTTGAGAAGTGAATTATAATCCACTTCCCAAAATTAGCCAAAATAGAGAGGTGTTTGTGTTTGTAGGTCGATTTTGATTGTGAACCACCGCGGTATGGTCTGTGTTGACATTGTCACCGCCTTGATATTAATTTTAGGGTAAATTGTACAGACACCCCGTCTAATTACATCTCATGTTTTTGATATTTTGGAAATTATATTTTTTCTTATGTGATTAATAGTTTTATTTCATAACTTTTATTTATATAAAAAGTAACAATACTTAATAGAAAAATAGAGAAAATTACATTAAAAAAAAATAAAGCAAAAAAAATGGGGAAAAAAAAAAGTAAAGCAAAGTAAAAAAAAAAAAGAGAGAGTGCATGAGGTCAATAGTCTCATTTTGTCTAAAGGAAAATGAGTTGGACCCCCTCAAGGAGGCACCCCCTTTGACCCCCTCTCTTTCTGATTGGCCAGTTTTTTCTTTTTCTTTTTCTTTTTTTCCTTCTCCTCCAATCACCACCCGCCACGTGTATGTGGGGGGTGGTGGGGGTGGTGATTGGAGGGGGTCTCAATCACTTCCCTTCAATTTATTGGGCATTCCTTGGACCACCTTCGACCTCATTTCCCGAGGAGTTGCTAAGCCTGTTTGGGAAGTAATATACTTTTCTTCTTCTTTTTTTTAACTTTTTTATTGTTTGAGATAAAAAATTTAATATATTTGGAAAGAATTTTTTAATTTTTTACAAAAAAAAAAAAAGCCATATAAAAATATAGAGGGAATGGGAAAGAATATTCGACTTTTTTTTTGTTGTATGAATTGAATTTTTTCTGAGTTTCTAACTTTTATAGTAATTTTTTGACCAATATAACCACTTACCAAATGACCTATTTTCCACTCCGCCACACATAACCCCTCCTGTCATCACTGCAACCCTAGCGACCGCCACCTCTAACCCTCGCGACTGCTATCCAACTTTCACATCTGAAATCAAGAGAGAGAGAGAAGGTGAGAGAAGAAGAAGAGAAGTGAGGGAGGTCACCAGAGGTGGCGTTGGAGAGTTATTGTAGAGGGGACATGGTACCAGAGGTGGGGGCAGAGTGGGAGGCAACGCAAGTAGGTTTTTAGAGGTGAATGTGGCAGAAAATGGTGGAAAGGGTGTGAAATGTGGTTGTTAGATGTGAATTATGGCAACCGGTGATGGTGGGGGTAGAAAGAAGTAGCAGTCGACGATGGTAAGTTGAGAGTGAAGGATAGAGAGAGGGAAGGGTGTGTAAGTAATTTGATTGAAGGATATAATGATAATTAAAAAATTAAGATAATTGTGTAAATTGAGAGAATATGTGGTGTGTAAATAGAAGCTTCTCCAACAATCCCATGAGAATAGTGAAATTAGAGGTAAGAATACTATTTTGCCTTCCACTATACAAAAATAATTAAGTCACATATGATACAATGGGGGTTTTCACGTAATTTCTTATATTTGATCTTAATCAATTAATATCACTATACTAATGTACAAATAAATATAATTTATCTTAAAATTCCAACCAAATGCCACAATACTAGCAATTCCTTTCACTCATAATCTCACTCAATCTATTTTGACAAACAAACATGGCCTAACACATGGAATGGTATAAGGAATGTTTGTTGGGATTTGAGATAATCTATTGACCTTCTAGCAAAGTTTGCTTGGGGTACCACTGTAAAATGAATCAAATTTGAGCTTGGCTCATGCTTAGCTCATTTAAAATTAGTTCATTACGTAAATAAGTTAAGTTTGAACAATTTATTATTTTTGTAAGTTTGGTTATAACTCAACTCAATAAGTTTACTTTACATTATAAAGCTGTATAAAATATTAAGATTGCAAATGAATCTATTGTTCATGAATTGCTCGAGTTCAATTTTTTAAAAATTCGCTTATGCTCAACTCATTTGTTAAACTCTTTTAATAATTTAGCTAAACTCAAATATACGAAAACTTAGCTCAAATAAATTAGTGTAGACCCGCTTGGTTGTAGGGCTTACTTCCTAGCCCCAGTGAAAGTTGGGAATCAAACCCCCTCTGTTACGGTGGGATGGAGAATGTCGTACTTTAATTCAACAATGTTAGGATATTTTAACTCAAAGATATATTTGAAATTTTAAACAATCATTTTATATTGGGAGAATTATACTAACAGTTCCTATAATTTATAACTTATCTTATTTTAGTTCTTAACTTTTTAATTGTGATATATTTAATCCTAAATTTTGAATCTTGTTCCAAATAAAAACAATCAAAGATTTTTTTTTTTTTTTTGCAAACGGTCCATTTCAAAGGCAACGTTACCATGCAACTTATTTTATGTCGGTTAACTTATATGTTGTTTAAAATGTAGTAATTTTTTTATTAATAAATAATAATAGAACTTTCTTAGTTATAAAATTCTATCTGGTTTGGTTTGGTTTGTTAGAATCTATTTTCAGAATTTTTTTTAAGAAACCAAAAATTAAATTGGTAAAAAAAAATTATATAATTTTATCTTTTGAGAGGGTAAAAATAATTTTTTAAATATTTTTTATATTTATTTTTGTTTTAGTTTCTATTTTTTCAAAAGTCAAACATGGCAACAAATTTAATGTCATTATTAAACCGATTCATTAAATCAAAAAATTTAAAAGTAAAAATATTTCATATATTAAACATATCGATTATACATTAAAAACATAATTGTAGCGATCCCGATTTTGACCCGGTCAATTTACGAGGGTCGAGCTGCTTGGACAGTTCGCCGAAAGTAAAAATGCAAAATGCATTCAAAATTGCTTACAGGAAAGTATATTTCACGCTCGAGGGGACCATGTTATTTAGTCCGTAAGGGGAGATTTCATATCACTTTTTCAGTTCTCTCTCTCTCTCTAAAACTCTCCAAAATTTTCAGATCTAAAGCTTCTTTCTCTAGAAGTCATCTTCTCTCTTTGATTCTTCCAAATCCATTGGGAGTTAGACTGAAATTCTTCATCAAAGTTGTGTAACTTCTCGAGGGTTTCGTTGTGTGCGGTGGAGATCGAGTTTCGACACCGTAAATTTTGGGGTTTCATCTCATTTTTTCTTCAAAACTTGAGGTAGGGATTTTCTTAGAATTATATATATATTTTTGCAAAATCTATATGATTTTCGAAATCATTTTTTGATAGCTTTGAAAATCAATTGTTGATTCAAGAAGTTGAGTGATTTTGAAAGTAAGTTTGTCTTTTGTTCTTTTAAAATGATCTTATGGGTTTTGATCTTCGTTGATTGAAGAAAAGATAGTCTTGGAAAGTTTTCTTTCAAAAGATTTTAGTTATATAGTTTTGGTGAGAAAACCTAGGATTTAGGAATTTTTTTTAGAGACTGAAAATTCATGAATGATATTGCTATATTTATTTTGTGTGTCAAAATA